TTCTTCTCAAGCTCCCATGATCCTTGATTGATATTCAATTGTCAACTCAACATGGTGATAGAAAGGAGCAACACTTCTCTAATTTTTAACCAAATTGTGCATATGCCTATTTCTTTTTGTTTATCATGTCTAATGTTTGATAATTTCTATCATGTTTTTTCACTTCATTATGGTGTCATCATCCATCCCTTATGTGAGTCATCATTCAATTTATGGGAATACTAACTTGGCTGTTGAATGTGCGAGGTACTTTGAGAAAAGTTTTGCATTTTTGACTTGAGGCTAATGTGTTTCACTTTATTTGTGGAACACAATTTATTGTATTGGCACTACTCTTGTGATTGACATATTTGATAGTCTCTGCAGCATATATATGTGATTATGAATGCTATGCATTGCCCATGGGATCTGTTCATATCTGAAAAACTCAATACTTACATCCCGATGGCGTAATTTCTGACTTGATTTGTCTGCTGATGCCAGCTTGCTTGAAGTTCTCTGGGTTTCTTTTATTCTTGCTCAGTTTCTACGGATAATTATCCGTTTGGTATTGCATTATTTCCTTTCTTCTATTTTCATTTTGTATAGTTCTATTTTGCATGATGGGACCTCTGTTGCTGATATATGTCAGGAGGCCCTCTGTTTTTGTTTGACACATGTGTTGTGTTTGTTTTTGAATGATGAGTCACTCAATTTAGAAATTGAGATCACGACTTTGCTCTCAGTGCATGTTCCCTATAGGATGTTTATTGTTTTTCTTCTTTATCTTTTGATCGACGAGTCACTCAATTTAGAAATTGAGATCACGACTTCGCTCTCAGTGCATGTTCCCTATAGGATGTTTATTGTTTTTCTTCTTTATTCTTTGATCGATGAGTCACTCAATTTAGAAATTGAGATCACGACTTCGCTTTCAGTGCATGTTCCCTATAGGATAGTTTTGTTAAGCTTTCTTTGACATGTTAATTAAGGTAGGAATCCATGTATGCTAGCATAGGGTAAGATTTTCCTTTATCCTCAACCTTATGGTCAATCATTGCATGATAACACTAGGTATAGTGGTAGGCTAGTTTCCCTTAGTCGTTTTTTCCTTCCTTTGCATTTTTCATCTTAAAACAAAAATTGTTTTCTTGGCAAATCATAAAACACCTCTAATAAACTCAAACCCTTCTTCAAGGTAAAAGATATAAATCAATCCTATTTGTTTGTGTGCCTCTTGGCTTTGTTTTAAACCTGGTTTATTGATGTTTCGCCATCTTTGCCGTGATACTCTGTTATCTTCTAGCCGATGTTTTGCCATCGCACATTTGTTTGAAGTCGATGTTTCGCCATCGCACATGTCTGTTATCCTACTTTGATTCTCAATATCATTGTTAGGTGTGATGTTTTGTCATCTGTTTCGTAGATGTTTCACCATCTTTGCCATGATACCCTGTTATCTTCTAGCCGATGTTTCTCCATCGCACATTTGTTTGAAGTCGATGTTTCGCCATCGCACATGTCTGTTATCCTACTTTGATTCTCAATATCATTGTTAGGTGTGATGTTTTGTCATCCGTTTTATCGATGTTTCGCCATCTTTACCATGATACCTTGTTATCTTTTAGCCGATGTTTCGCCATCGCATGCTTGTTTGAAGCCGATGTTTTGCCATCACATATGTTTGTTATCCTACTTTGATTCTCAATATCATTGTTAGGTGTGATGTTTTGTCATCCGTTTTATCGATGTTTCGCCATCTTTACCATGATACCTTGTTATCTTTTAGCCGATGTTTCGCCATCGCACATTTGTTTGAAGCCGATGTCTCACCATTGCACATGTTGGTTATCCTACTTTGATTCTCAATATCATTGTTAGGTGTGATGTTTTGTCATCCATTTTATCGATGTTTCTCCATCGCATACTTGTTTGAAGCCGATGTTTCGCCGTCGCACGTGTTGGTTATCCTACTTTGATTCTCAATATCATTGTTAGGTGTGATGTTTTATCATTTGATGTTTCTCTATCTTTGACATGTCACTTTGTTATTATTTAGTCGATGTCTTACCATCTCATTTGTTTGTTGTTTTATTTGATGTTTTGCCATCTTGACTATTTTTATTGTCTTAACTAAAAAACCCAAACCAACCAAAATACATGAGTCGAACTACGGCTGCTCTGATTCCTTAAAAGGGATACATAGGCAAAGGGGTAGGGCCCAACCGAGCATAATTTTTATTTTCTCTACATTGTTTTCTTTTTCTTTCTTTCGCATGCATTCCCTTTTCAGTTTTAAGCCATAGACATAGGTTTTGACCACACCCATTAAATTAGACAACAAGAGTGGATACCGTAGAGTACTACGGGCGTGTGGGGTGCTAATACCTTCCCCTCGCGTAACAGACTCCCTTACCCGATCTCTCGGTCGAAAGACCGTGATTTCTCCCTTTTCAGGTTTTCTCGATATTTACCTTTCCCTTTTTTCGGGATAAAAGACGTTCGATGGCGACTTCATTGATGTCTCATTACGAGATGACAGGTTCCTCCAGGTCGTTTCAAATACCCACCGTCCGCCAACCCTAACGAACCATCTACCCCTTCTGATATACCACCAGATTCTTCCACCACGAATACTCCGACGTCCGCTTCAACTCACCTCAAAACACGTTTTCGACGCCTCTAAGCTTCACTACGATCAAACACCATCGCACCACATTGTCTCACCCGTAGCTTCACTCTTCCATCCACCCTTAGCCAAACACCGTCGCACCACGAGCACCACCATATATCCATTCATCATTTACGATCTCCACCGAGACACTCAACAACCGAAACTATCACTTCCATTTTTTATCTGCACCACACGAACATGTCAATCTAACCTTCTAAATCTAACTTCAACAACACTTTGACACATCTCTGTCGTCCACTCAACTCCACTGCAGCTCGCCGAATCCATCACAACTTACGTTCTGACTCCACCAGCAACAACACGATTATTCCATCTTCAACATTTCCAGAAACATCGTTCGACATTTGGTAATGTTTTAGTCAAGTTCTCTTCTGTTCCTTTTCACATTTAAGCTATTGTATTTATTTTTTAATTCGATTTCGACTTTGTGTTTATTCTTGCATGGATTGTGCTGGATTTTTTCTTGATGTTGTAATAGATTTGTAATAATGATGTAATCATATTTGTGTTGTTAAGTGTTGCTGAGTTATTCTTTAATTGCATTACGATTTAGGATGCTTAAACTTTGTTGCTCCCAAATACGTGTTGAACACATGTATTATGTAAGTTGCATGGGACTCTTTTAGTTTTGTATTAATGGTGGAGTGTTGTAGGTATTATCGCTATTATATTGTGATGTTGAATTTGTATTGTATTGCGTGTTTTATGTACTTTTAGATTTGATTGTGATGAGCGCTTTTCGTGTTAGCAATTCGTTTTTGATTTTTTGTTAGGGTGCAACCTTTCGATTTGTCGTTGTTACGTTAATTCATATTTGTATACGCTAATTGTCATTTTATTTTTCGTCATGCAACATTACTTTCTTGGTATGATGCGATAAGATACACTAGGTCTTATTCATATTTCAAGTTGATCGCGATGAGCGTGTTTTGTGTTAGCGTTTTGCCGTAATTTTATTAGTGTGTGACATTTCATTATGTTGTCGTCATGTTAACCCAGATGCGTGTATATTATCGATAGTTTGGCATGGCGTCAATATACAATTTTTTTCGCTACTATATTCTGTCACATAATGTTACCATTTATTATGATGCGATACTTCATGTTATGTTTTGTTTTCTTTTCAATTCAATTGTGTCATATGCGTACTGGTTGTGATTATTATGTATGCTTGTGGATTTTCTTTCTAGCAGTTATTGCGTGTTTGTGTAGCGCTTTCCATTACACTTTGTACCTTGTGTTACTTCTTGGTATTATTGTACTATTTTATCAAGCTTATTTACACAATCTAAATCAACTTTTCTTAAGTAAATTAAAACCAACCTTTTTCTAACTTAAAACCGTTGATCAACATCAAGGACGTTTTTTCAAAACCAAACTAAAAAACTTTGTGAATAAACACCAAAGGATACATAGGAGCAAGATCCAATGTCTCGTCAGACACAATATAAAAAAACTTTATTTCTTTCTGTTCTCATAATAATTAAAAGATCGAAAATATCATCACACTAACACTCCTTTGCAAAACTAACTAAATAGGTCCCGTTGAGTACAACAAATGTGATGAGTGCTACTATCTTTCTGTTGCATAACCGACCCCTGAACGCTAATTTGGTTGTGATTACCATTTTTCTCTTAAGGGTTTTATTTATATTTTCCCTTTCCTTTGTAATAAATAAAATTCGGTGGCGACTCTGTTGTATTTCGAGTACGCGATGCGCTTGGGTATTTTTCGCGCCGCGAAACTTACCATCTCAAAAGAACTCCAGGTTCGCTCATAGCCCGATGAACTGTATGTCAAGCTAAGTATGTAGATGGAAAATATTTTGAGTCCTGGACACTAAAACCCAACTGAATCCCACCAATCTGTCGGAATAGATTTTTCAAGTGTTAGTTTGGTTGATTGTGTGCCAAAATACTCTAATTATTTCTTGAAATCATGCACTTGGACTTTAATCTTAGCATGTTCTTCAGGATCATCTACCATCTTAGTTAAACAACCCATTAAGCCTTTTATAACCTTAATATCAACTTTGAGTCTAGGACCATAATGCATATGTGGGTTGAGATAATAGGTTGTAGCATGCAGTGGCCTATATAGCAATTTGTCCCATATATAATCAACGATATTCCAAGTAGGTTTGTAACTACAAATTATATAATAATTTGAGTTATTTTTAACAGTTGATATCAAGAACATACACAAATAATTCAATAAAATTAAATAAAACAAAGATACCTTTTTTTCACCATTAAAATTCTTTTGAACTTCCTCCTTTGATTTGTTCATTGCCTCATTGATTAATCCCATGGCTGGTTTTTGATCTCAATCAACTAAACGAAGCACTTTAATGAGAGGTGACACACCCCTCAAACAAATAACGATATTCTTCCAATTTTTTTTGTCCAAAACCACATCTACAATGGTTTTCCCATCTCTTAACTTTGAACATTTTCTCGACTTCCATTCTTTGGAAGTGAACATTCTTATCAAATCTTTCTTGTTCTCATACAAGCACCCTAAAGTAAGGTAAGATGTGACAAATCGAGTAGCGCCTGACCTCCCCAAATCTTTTTTTTTGTGCGATATATGCAAAATAGAAATGCGACAAGTTCTTGAATAAATAAAAGTTGTAATTTTTTTACCCTTTGGAATTGTATCTTCATGAACTAATATATTTTTCTCCAAATATTCAAGCATCAAATCAACACAGTGCGTGACACAAGGTGTCGAACATATTGTGCTCTTCTTTCGCATCAATATATCACCGTAGGCCTTGTAGTTTATCGAATTATCTGTCACGACCTGAACAACATTATCTTGTCCAACCTCTTCAACAACAACATCAATCATTTCAAAGTTTTTGTCGGTTGTTCTGCATATGTTTGATGCACCAACAAACTTAAAAAATACAATAACCTTTGGACTATTAACCAAGAAAATCAAAATTGTCCCCCTCTTTCGATCAGTCTATCCATCAATCATTGGGGTGCAACCAATGTTTCTACATTACTTTCTATGTTATTCCAAAGCTTCATTTGTCAACTTTACTTATTGGTTTAACAACTTAATTCTCAAGTCATTATAAGATGGTGGTTTGAATCCATTACCATGCCTTAAAATCACATCACACATAATATTGAACTCCTCACCCATTGCTACATTGAATGGTATGGCATTATTGTAAAAAAAACTTGCAATTGTTGTCCTCCTCTTTCGATCAGTCTATCCATCAATCATTGGGGTGCAACCAATGTTTCTACATTCCTTTCTATGTTATTCCAAAGCTTCATTTGTCAACTTTACTTATTGGTTTAACAACTTAATTCTCAAGTCATTATAAGATGGTGGTTTGAATCCATTACCATGCCTTAAAATCACATCACACATAATATTGAACTCCTCACCCATTGCTACATTGAATGGTATGGCATTATTGTAAAAAAAACTTGCAATTGTTGGCATGCATTTGCGCTTAAACCCTTCTTTAGAACTGCATTGATGTTAGGTTGTGAGATGAAACAAATTTTATTAAATATGTTTCCAGATTTGTTACCGTCCTTTGTTTTTTAGCCCACCTATGACTTATCCTCCTCCATTATTGCCTCTATTTTTTTGATCAAATTTTCTTGCAATCTTGAACAAACTTGCATTATTTATCTCTTGATTTCATCGGGGACAACCTTACATGCTTCAACATCTCTTTAAATTCCAGCCAAGTGATGCTTTAGCCTGTAGACACCTACAACTACATTTTTTTACAATACTTGCATTGGAGTTTCCTTGATTATCGGGATCAATAATACCATGTTTCCATGCTATATCAGTTATGTTACCAGGAGCATCTTTGGGTAGTTTTTTCTGGCGTGGTGATGGTGCAATTGTAAGGGAGCAGTGAGAGCACCAACAACTAAAGTTCTAATAGTAAAACTTGAAACCATGGAGAAAGGTTGAAATTGTTGTTAACGTGTGAGAGAAAATAAAGAAGGAAAAGTTATTTTTAACGTGAGAAAGAAGATAGAGAATGAAATATTGAGTTAAATAATGGTTGTATTTAACATGTGAGATGTTTAACGTGAGAGAATTAGAGTGAATAAATGTGTTTTGGGAAGTTACACTAATCATGGTTTATTTTGAGAACTTGAATAGCTCCTTTATTACTGGGTGGGTGGGTATTGATTACTACTTATTATTAGGCAGAAAAGAAACGGCTTATAATTCAAGGAGAAAAGAAACGTTTCAAAATTCATTAAAAAAGTAACGTTTTTAGGGTTTTTCTGAACCAGGTCGAAAATCTGACCCGCGAACCTGAATTTATGGGGGCTTTAAACATAAATGACAGTTCTTCTAAAAAAATGACGATTCGACCATTTTCATGTGATATCACCGTGATTGCGGCCACGCCTACCAAAAATTGATTTTGGTCATTCTCTGACACGATGGCATGTTGCAAGATCGTAAAATCTTATGACCCAACAAAACACTTTTTAAAGGACAAATCTGTAAGGTGTTAAATTCTTATAATGTGCCTTAAAACCTCAAGTGATAAAAGAGAAAAAAACATATTTGGGTACTAACATATTTTTTGTGTTTGTCGTGGATTTGATCGCTAATAGGTCATATCTTGGGCTTATTAAGGTTTTCTATCATTTGTTGTGAGACAAGTTGTAGAAGGTGCATAAGGTAGAAATCCTATTGTGCAACAAATTATATAAATTCTTATAATTATATTCATAAGGTTTGACATCATTTTGTAGTCATAAAAGGAACTTGGTAAATACTTTACGCACCTTGGGTTTGTGTGATTCTAATATTGAGAGTTATAGAGATTAAGAAACACTTGGGTAGAAAATTGAGTTTAGTTTATAAGCTTCAAATGAGTTATTCTAGTAAGTAATATTGTAATCTCTTGTAAAAATTTTAAAGTATGGTGAATCAGAGAGTCGCTCTCTCATCTATACGTAGATCGATTTGATCAAATTGAGTAAACAATTTTTACGTGTTCTCCCATATTATTTTTCTTGCTTAAATCCATTTGTCTGACTGACATTGTTCTTTGTCACACACATTAAAGTCTTGTTGTGTGAAAATCATTTGAACTATTTTCTCGACAAAAACTTATTTGGAATTTGAAATTTTAGCATAATTTTGATATAGAGATAAGACTGAATTGAAATTCAAGAGTATAAAGAAGATAATGCAATTGCATTTTATTATCAAGATGGATTGAGCCATAAAAATTGGCATTAATGGTGTTTCTAATAGAAAAGTGTATGAGAATAGGGTCAATGTACTCAATATTATATGAACACTTGATATGGAGGAAAACATGATCTGATTCCCCTGAATCAAGGATCCAAAGTCAAAATTACTTTAAATTAATATCTACATTAGTGATACTTGATACATATGAGTACTATCAACAAATGTGTGTTGACCAACTGACTCCAAATATAAGATATGGGCGGGGGTGAGTTGTGATATTCGTAATTAAAAAAATAGTTTATAAAAAATTTGATTTTGAAAACGTTTATGTTAGAAGAGATAAAATGGCAGAGATAAAGTAGTGGGATAATAGAGAAGAGAAAAGTCAAAGAAATAAGCAGTGAAAATAAAATGGACAAGAGACATAAAAATTACACCAGAAAACTATCGTTATTTAGCCTAAACCACTTGGAATACTCCAATCTCTAAGAGTTCCCCCTGAAATTTCTATTAAAATGATCTTGAGCTAAATACAAGATCGGTCCAAATAACCTTTCATAACAACTTGAGCTTTTTGCACATGATCAACCCACAACTTTACAAAAAATAGAGCTATTACACGTGTTCAGCTTAATACCTTCACTAGAGCTTTTGCACAAGCTTAACTCAATAACCTACACCAAAACTTTTACACAGGTTTAGCTTAATAAACTACATCCAAGAGTGTTTCAGATTTAGCTTGCAACATTTTAATCTTATTACAAAGAGATCACAAGAGATATATGCTCTTGAGTAAATAGTTTCAATATGACACCAATACAACACAAATCATAAATGGAATTTTCACTCTTTTGGCACTAAGGAAACTCAAGTGAAAAAGAATTTTATAAAATAATGAGAGAAAGAAAGAATAATAGAAAGTTTATATTCATAAAAGTAATGTATTTTGAAATGATTAGAATTCGCCTTTATATAGAATAAATCGAACTAAAAAGAAATAATTCATGGACATTTTCAATGATTTAATCCATTAGAAGCATGTCTTAATCGCAAAACTAAGCTGAATTAGGAAAATTTTATTTTCTATGTCACTTAATGAATTATTACCCCATTAATCGATTAGGAGGTGTTACACTTTGATTTAATTGGTTAGAAATTCGTCTTATTCTATTAGACAATATATTTTACATTCCTAATTGATTATACAAACTTATAATAAATTAAGCACTTGCCCGAATTGATTTTTAAGAAGTTTTATCTTAAAGAGAAGAGATTTAAAAAAAAAAAATTGTGTGTGTGTGTGTGCGCGCATGAATTGTCTTAGTACCTAAAGACTTTCTCTTTTTTCTTTATCATAAACTGATCAAAACTAAAGTGCTAAGTGAATAGGAAAACTTTCACACTTCACATCTTTGAGTTCATAATTTCAAGATCATAATTCCTAGATCACAACTTCAAGACTTCAAATTTATTTGTTGAATTCAACATTGTCTAGAACCTTTATTTGAAATTTGATATATTCGAATGACCAGTCTTTTGTATATCTTTATTGTTCATATACCATCATTAGGAACTTTTAGAATATTTGTCATGATGGAAACCATTTGACAGTTGTCATCAACACAACCGTTTGATAGATGTCATCATCAACACCATTTGACAACTGTTAGCATCATAACATCTTGACTATTGTCATCATTAAAACCATTTGATCATATTACCTGCACATCACATAAAACCACATGTTCCCCTTTTTGATGTTGACAACACATGTTTCAGGAAGATGGTAAGATAGAAGAGATAGATAAACTATTTGGAGTGGTTAACTCCCCCTAAAAAAGAGTACATTATACTTCCTAAGAGAGTATACTCCCCCTTTTAGTATTATCAAAGTGGCAGAATAAACAAAACACTTAATACAGGTATGGAAGATTGAGAAAAGGAAGAAAAATAAGAAGGAGAGAAAATACTTAGCTGATTAATCCATGCATGATTGATTTAAGATTCTTGACTTAGTTCTTATGAAAAAGAAAATTTCTTTAGGAAGAGGTTTTTTTTAAATGTCTTCCTATTGATCATATGAAGACACAAACTCAATTATGCAATCCTCTATTTTGACACGATCTTTAATAAAATTGTTCATAATATCAATGTGTTAAGTTTGAGATTGAAGTTCCAATTTTTTAGTGAGATTTATGTTGCTAGGGTTTTCCTATTTTGTCGCAACAGTTCTGAGATTAACTATATAATCACTTAGCTATTGTTTCATCTAGACTACTTACATACAACAACTATATACAATAATGCATTCTACTTCAGTTGTGGATACCACAACACTTACTTGTTTTTTACTATGTCAGGAGACAAGCAAATTTCCAAGAAAATGATACATATCGTCGATACTTCTCTAATCCAATTTATAACTAGAAAAATTAGAATAAATGAACCCAACTAAATCATAATCCGATATTTTAGGGTGCCATAAACCCATAATGAGTGTGCTAGTGAGATACCTCATAATGTGGTTGACCATACATAGTTGTGATTCTTTGGTGTTTGCTTGAAAACGAGCACACTAACAAACAACAAACATATCATTTGAAAAAGATAAAGTAATATGAATTAGGGCCCTATCATACCTTGATATTTTCTTTCTTCAACTGTTTTTCCTTCTTCGTCCTTATATAAACTGCATTAAGTACTCATTAGAGATGATATTAGATTTTCTTTATCCATATTGAATATCTTTAGTCGCTATTTATAATATTTAGATTGGTTGATAGATGCGCCTTCCTTTGATTGATGAATTTTTAACACAATAAAGTACCAAAGCTCCCCTATCATAGATATTTCAAATACATTCTGAATCATATCAAATAAAACCTTGCACATTGTTGTACCCCAAAATTTTCCCTCTCACTTATCAAGAATTTTGCTCACAAGATCTCCTTGGGCTCAAGACTGCACTAGGGTTCATCAACTCAAGACACCTCCTTAAGCACTGATGACCAAAATTAGGGTTTGAGATTGCACAAGGATTTTTGAACTTCCAATACCCCATATGATTTTCATGGATCATTATGGACCCTGAAGATCACTCATGTCAAGTTTCAAGCTTTGGATCACGCTTTTGCTCAGTCAATTGAGTAGTTGACCTAAAAATCAGTTGTATTGGGAAAAAAGTCAACCATGGCCAATTTACAGTCAAAATTCATATTTTTTTATCCACATGAACATTTTATACTCATATGTATCATTTGATCAAGTTTGGACCATAATTCCCCAAGAAATTTGATTAAATCTTCAAAAGGGCAAAATGGTCAAAATTAGGGTTTTGACTAGGAAAGGGCAATTTCTGATTTTTGACCTAGAAAATGATTAATTGGTTTAAGGCATGAACTCAAGAGTCCAATTGCATCATTTTGACCTAATGACATGGCTCAAAACATTGCTCAAGTCCAATAGATTGACAATGAATTTTCAGTCAACTGATCAAAAGTCAACTGTATACTGAAAAGTCAAACTTTGACTTTTTGATAAAAACATGTAAAAATATGAAACTTATTCATCAAGAAATCAAAAAGTCAATATTTCATTTTGAAAAGTCAAAATTTTCAAACTTAGAAATTTTTCTAAGTGTTGAAATTTTCATGTTTTTCAGAACTTTGAACAAATTTTTCACCATGATGGAAGATGATTCAAGAGAAACTTCCAACATTAAAGTTGTATATCTCCA